TGGGGGGGGGGGGGGGGACACAGCCTGGGTCCCTCCTCCTTTCTCAGGGGGGCTTTTGCTCCTGCAGTTTCTACAAGGGTGGCGGGTGAGAGACCCTCTGAAAGCCATTCTCTTTCCCCCCACCCTCCCTTCCCAGACTACTCCCTTCCCGTGTGCAGTCCCTGCCTGGCGTGATCTCTCACGAGGGAATCCTCTTTTTCCTTCAGGGACCCTTTTCCTTTGAGGAGGTGTCTGTCTCTTTCACGGAGGCAGAATGGGCCCTGCTGGATCCGGGACAAAGAGCTCTGCACAGGGAAGTCATGCTGGAGAACTACGGGAACGTGGCTTTTCTGGGTAAGGATCTTTCATAGGTGCCAAAGGTGCAGATTGCTGCCATTGGCATGAGGCATGAATCAAAATATGTAATAGCAACAGTGGCAGAGCCTCTGCTTCGCATGCAGAAGGTCCCGGGTTCAATCTCCAGCATCTCCAGTTGAAAGGATCAGGTAGGAGGTGATGGGAAAGACCTCTGCCTGAGGCCCTGGAGAATCGCTGCCGGACTGAGTGGGCAGGACTGACTTCAGTGGACCAAGGGTCTGATTCAGTAGAAGGCAGCTTCATCTGTTTATGGGTGTGTTCTTGCCCAGGGGCAATGTGGCCAGTGTTGTGCCCCTGGTTATGAAGTTAGCATGCTAAGAAACACTCTGAAAAAGTGTTACCCTCGGGTCTCCAGTTGTGCTCAAGTCACGTTTGGGCCGAATCGGACAGTGACACGTGTGAAGAAATACATTTTTTGCTTTAGAGGTTTGAAATGAGCAAAACCTCCACTCTGTGTTTTAAAAGTCCCCCCCCCCCAGGCAGAGAACAGACAGGTAGGAAGGGGGGAAGGCAGTCCAGTGGCTTTCCAGGGAAGGGAAACAGAGATGATAACACCTTGCCGCAGGAAGGAGGTCACTTTTCCTGGGGTGCAGAGTTTATGAGCATACACAGACCTCTCCACGAGGAAGGAAGCCATTGACCATGTGCTCACCTGGAGGGCTGCAGCAAACTTCAAGGTAATGGAATCCGGAGCCTTCGTCATTTTTGGCTACCTTTTTGTATCTTTTGGACTTTAATATTGTTGTACTTACTTGCTATTGTTACACTTTCTTATGAGATATCGTCTTTTCTAGTAAGTTGCACGCTATAAATATTGCATATTCTATGAGCTATAGCATTTCCCTGGCTTTTTTCATACAACGTCTTAAGCACCCCTCTCACCAAAGTCACATGTGAGTCCTTATCTTGTGAATAAATCAGGATATCACCAAGATAAACCAGAACCCCTTTATTAAATTCATGAAGACCCCCGGGGCCCCCGCCTACCCAAAAGGCATAACCAGGTACTGGAATTGCCCCAAGAGTGTGTTGAATGCTGTTTTCTGCTCATCCCCCTCTCGGGTGCGCATTCAAAAGTAGGTATCTCTCAGATCCAACTTTGAGAACATTTTGTCCATCGCGGCTTCAACCAGGAGGACTTTGATCAGTGGGAGGGGGTAGGCGTTGGTGGTAGAGACAGCGTTCAAACCCCTATGATCCGTACATAGCCTCAGCCCCCCGTCTTACTTTTTCCAGACGAGGACAGAAGCCGCAAAAGGCGAGGAGGCAGGTCGGATGAACCCCCGTGCCAAGTTTCTGTCAGTGAACTTCCACAGCTCCTCTTTCTCTGCGGGACACATGGCATACAAGTTCCCCTTTGGGCATCTTATGCCCCGGTAAAATCTCGGGGGGCGGGGGCGAGAGTTCATCTGCCTCCTCTTCCTCTGTATTACTTCGGGATGGAATCGAGCTCTTCTTGGACTAGACACGCTCGCCCAGGGAGGGAAGGCGGGGTTCTCCACTTTTCACGCATGTCCATCACATTTGGGGTCAGGAAAATGTAACACGCCTGCACTCCACTGTATGTGGGGGCCGTGGTCTCGCAGGCAGGGGTGTTGCTCATCGAATGTGGCGCTGCCTGTTTTCGGACCTGCTGGGTTGTGCCTCTTACAGCAGGTCCCGGCCCTTTCCCCACCGGCTGGGACACATAATCTCCGCTGGACGAAGCCCCATTAAGAGTTGCCTTCAACTGGAGAGCCTTCGGTTGCATGAGCCATGCTCCTCCAGGCGTTGGCTGCACCTTGGACCTGCGTCTCGCGGGTGCTCTCCCCCTTTGGCTGGGCTGTCCGATTGGCTGGGCAGAAAGTGGCGTACTGTCCCGGTTCTCCAGAGCCCAGGCACACACCTTGCCTCATTCTCCAGTCTTCCATAGACTCCTTGGGTCTGGGCGCTGGCTTCTTGCCTCACCTCCCGGTCTCTTCGGGGTCACTTTGGGCAGAAGAGATCATGGAAACACCGAAAACACAGCAGAACTGAAAGTTAACATTGCAGAGTCACCCCTCACTCCCATGGCAGCTAGGACAGACAGAGGCCTAGCGGACAGTCAGCACCCTCCTAAACCCCCCACCCTCCTGTTTACACAGCTGTTTACAGGTACTCGAGATTAACCAATGACCACACTCTGGAGTCTGGCCTTGAAGAAGATCAGGATGTTAGCTGCAGGGAGACTCCAATCACGAACACCTGCGAGTCAGACTAGTCCACTTAATAATCAGGTTAACCCTTGGGGGAAGAAGGGTGCTTTGCCTCACAGATCCATTGCTGTTAAACTGTTTGGGATTGTGGGCTTTGATCTTGACCCTGATTCCATCCTTCCAGAAGAATATTTTCTCTTGAATTTCTTTCCTTCCTTCTATAAGAATGATCTCTCTCTCTCTCTGAAAAAGCTAGAAGTATAAGAGAGGCTACGGTGGAGACAGACAACGGCCTCACATCCAAAGAAAGGCTGGAGAGTTCCTCAACAGGATCTCAAGATCATATCTCGTGCCCAGATGAGGTGCCTGAGAGTGAGTATCCTTCACGGTTATGCCAAGGGACCAGGCAAGGAACAGTTATGGGGGATTTCTGGTTCAGTTCTGAGCAACATTTGGTTTGGGACAGTCATACAGCCTGCTGGGTAAGGGGGGAGGGAGGCCTTCTGGGGCCCTGAAATCTGGAGGCTTGGAAACGCCTTCTACTTTACAGCTTGGCTGTGCCTCTTGAGGGAGTGAGGTATCCTTAAATACTAGGGGCAAGTGGAAGGTGGTGGTGGTGGTGGTTAAGTTCGCCCAAGCCAAAGGGCGGTCAGTCCTTTCCTATTGCGTTCGGACCTTATATCATGAACTAGCCGACCCAGACCCCTCCCTTAAGCCTCTGGGTCAGCGTTTTCCCTTTCTCCAGGCTGTTTTATTTGCGCACTGAGAGATAAGGAGGCTTTAGACTCATTAAAAACCCCTTCCAATGGTGTACAAAGACCAATGCTTTTCTGGTTTAAGAAAAGGAATTTATTTACAAAAGAGAATAAAACAAGTCAAACTATAGGAAAAGCTCCAGTGAACATGACACAAAGAAAAGCAACAATAACTCTAGCTACTACTAACTGATATACTTATCCCTGGGAATTTTACCTGAGCAGCAAAACAGGCCAGCTGGCAGGAACAAGTCTTCGGAATCTCAGCTTCCTCCTGCTTCCAGTGCACACAGACAGCAAACGTAGTTCCCCGACTCCCCAGGCTGGGAGTCAACCTCAGAATTCCTTGCAATCGAGGAGTTGTCTGGGCTTTGCCTGGTTTCTTAATTTATAGTTCCCTAGCTGTCAATTTCCAATGACGTTATTTAGGGCAATCATGTTACCTTCTAGATTACCTCCTGTCATAGATTGTAGCGATCTAGCTACCTACAGCTGCAAACCATTCTTCAGGGGATAATTGATAGCAGGTGCCAAACCTAGTGTAATGCCTTGACTATTACAATGGACAGCACCTGACAACTTGCTCCTGCAGCGACTCCTGGACCTTAAGGAGACCATGTTCCTGACATGCCCTTTTTCTTTTGCTAAAATTTATAGTTGGATTTTTAAATTTTAGCACAAAACAAATACAGTTTCAAAAGGCTTAAGACATTTCAAATTCATTTCCTGACTTTCATATGAAGATTATCCCTGGGCTGCATCTTTGCACTGTAGACAAATCTTGCCAGGCTTCCCTGGGTGTGGCTCTATTTACTTATCTTGATGTAAGGGCATTATCCCCCCTCCCCCCTTGGTCAAATCTTGCCTTAAGAACATAAGAACATAAGAGACGCCAATGTTGGATCAGGCCAAAGGCCCATCCAGTCCAACACTCTGTGTCACACAGTGGCCAGAAATACCAGGGGCCATCAGGAGGTCCAGCAGTGGGGCCAGGACATTAGAAGCCCTCCCACTGTTGACCCCCCCCCCAAGCACCAAGAAGACAGAGCATCACTTGCCCCAGAGCCCCTAGCTATACCTTGTGGCTAATATCCACTGATGGACCTCTGCTCCATATGCTTATCTAATTCCCTTTTGAAGCCGTCCATGCTTGTAGCCGCCACCACTTCCTGTGGCAGTGAATTCCATGTGTTAATCACTCTTTGGGTGAAAAAGTACTTCCTTTTATCCGTTCTAATCCGACCGCTCAGCAATTTCATGGAGTGCCCACGAGTTCTTGTATGGTGAGAAAGGGAGAAAAGTACCTCTTTCTTTACCTGCTCTTTCCCATGCATAATCTTATAAACCTCGATCATGTCACCCCTCAGTCGTCTTTTCTCCAAGCTAAAGAGCCCTAAGCGCTTTAACCTTTCCTCATAGGAAAAGTGTTCCAACCCTTTTATCATTCGAGTTGCCCTTTTCTGCACTTTTTCCAAAGCTTAGTATAATGCTGGACCTGAAACTCTTGTGAGGTTCTCCTTTGTTTTTTAAAAGCCCTCCCAGTTTTTCTCCTCACCCTACGTTCTGGGCTTATCCTAATTCTTTGCGTCTTAACAACCCCACGGTTTCCTGATGTTATTGATACTCCCTCTGTTCTACCAGGATCAGTTTCCACAAGGTCTTTACCAAACTGTTGTCCCCTTTTAACAGAAGTTTTATACAATAGATCTGCACCTATCACAAAGTCACATGCCTCATTCTTATGCACTAAGACAGGCAGTTCACCTTCCCAATTTCTAAACTTCACATGCAGTCTAACCAAGGGTACAAGCCTAGAGGCATTATCATAGGGACCCACCCTCACCATACCCACATACTGAACATTGGGACCCAAAAGATCTTTCCTTATGGAGCTTAAATCTGCTCCCGTGTCTTTACTACCATTAAGTCTTAGTTGATGATTTACTTCAATCAGTTCAGTTCTAAATTCTTCCATCCACTGATGCTGTTCCGTTGGAATAAGCTGATTAGCACTCAACAATTTCAGCTCATTCATGACTACCATGGTTCCCATTCTAGCTGTTGCCATCTCCCGGTTCCTGCTGTCTTCAGGCCCTCTGGATGCCTTTGATCTTTCCTCCGATGCAACTGTTTCCGGCCTCGCTGTCAGAAAGCTGTTAACAGATGTCCCTGCTTCTGCTGTGGAAACAAAGTCATTAGTACTTTCTCGGTATTCACAGTCATTCAAGAAGCTGGCGCCGCTCTCCAAGCCACTCCTTTGAATCAGTCGAATGTTGGCTTTACCGGCATTTCTCAGCAACCACTGTGCACATTCTTTTTTTCGGTGCCCCTTCTGCTGACAGAAAAAGCAGGTTAAATCGGCAGGATGCCTCTCATTGCTTGCAAAGCCACCTACTCGCGAGTAACCTTCTCCTGGGCGAGCTGTTTGTTCTCCCGCCCTTGAGTTTCTTTCTCGCTGCTGCACGCTCCTCTCCCTTTCTCTGGGAAAGAATGCTTGACTTACGCACATTTGCCTTGCAGTCATTATTTGTTCAGCCCTCTCTGCCATCTCCATGAGGTCTTGAGATCTCCTTGCCTGTAACAACACATTCACCTCTTCCGGAATGGTTAAAGTAAATTGTTCTTTCACCACTAAGTTCTTAAGGTCCTGCAAGGTTTTCACACTTGCTGCCTGTGCCCATTGATCTATTGTTCTCATCAGTCTTGCCATATAGGCAGTTAATGTCTCTCCGGGCTCAGGTTTCGCCTTTCTGAACTTAGCACGTAACTCCCCCTCCGTCAGGGAAAATCTCTGCAGGGCTAAGCGTTTAAATGTTTGGTAATCATTAACCCCGCCCGCTTGCATCTCTTGTAACACTTGTGATAAGCTTCCCGAAGTATGTAGCCACAATATTTGCACATACTTATCTTCCGGGACACCATAACTCTGGCATGTTGCTTCAAATAACGTCAAGAAAGTTGATACTTCCTGTCCCTGCTGGTATGTAGGGAACTTTTGTTTCTCCCACTTGCATGTCCATGCTCTATCTTCTTGCTGCTACTAACCTAGTCTAGCTAACTTCTACAAATAAAATTAAACCTTTGTGTCACGAACACTCTAAAAAATATTTTTCCGTACACCAACTCTTTTATCTTAACCTCTCTCCAGTGCCTGATACGTCCAGCTGTTACTCAGCTTGTTACAAAACTTTATCTCTTAGCTGTTTCCAAATTTAAACAGTGGGCTCTGATGCTGCTTTTGTTTTTCTAAGCAAACATCAATCACGACGCTGCCAACATGTCATGAACTAGCCGACCCAGACCCCTTCCTTAAGCCTCTGGGTCAACATTTTCCCTTTCTCCAGGCTGTTTTATTTGCTCACTGAGAGATAAGGAGGCTTTAGACTCATTAAAACCCCCTTCACACGGTGTACAAAGACCAATGCTTCTCTGGTTTAAGAAAAGGAATTTATTTACAAAAGAGAATAAATAAAACAAGTCAAACTATAGGAAAAGCTCCAGTGAACATGACACAAAGAAAAGCAACAATAACTCTAGCTACTACTAACTGATTTACTTATCCCTGGGAATTTTACCCAAGCAGCAAAACAGGCCAGCTGGCAGGAACAAGTCTTCGGAATCTCAGCTTCCTCCTGCTTCCAGTGCACACAGACAGCAAACGTAGTTCCCCGACTCCCCAGGCCAGGAACCAACCTCAGGATTCCTTACAATCGAGGAGTTGTCTGGGCTTTGCCTGGTTTCTTAATTTATAGTTCCCTAGCTGTCAATTTCCAATGACGTTATTTAGGGCAATCATGTTACCTTCTAGATTACCTCCTGTCATAGATTGTAGCGATCTAGCTACCTACAGCTGCAAACCATTCTTCAGGGGATAATTGATAGCAGGTGCCAAACCTAGTGTAATGCCTTGACTATTACAATGGACAGCACCTGACAACTTACTCCTGCAGTAACTCCTGGACCTTAAAGAGACCATGTTCCTGACACCTTACCAGCCCTCCCAGGTGCTAACAGGATCTCTCTGTTTATTCCAGCAGAGGATGATCAGAGGGATGAGGAGGGTGAGGAACTTCATCAGCAAAGGTCAGATAGAGTTAAAAATGAAGACTTGAAAGAAAACATCAGGAATCAAGGCAGACCAAAGAGAAAGAAAGGCGGCTGTATGGTTGAGAAGCCAGATGGAAGAAAGGGTCATGTATGTTTTCCAAAGTGCAGGATAATGAAGGCAAGAAAATCCATTCAGTCTGGAAAGAACTTCAGAAACAGATCACAGTTCCTTGTGCACCAAAGAATACACAGAGGTGACAAAACTTTTCAACGCTCAGAGTGTGGAAGGAGATTCAGTCATAGTGGCTATCTTCATGTGCACCAAAGAACCCACACAGGGGAGAAGCCTTTTGAGTGTTCAGAGTGTGGAAAGAGATTCAGTAAGAGTGGCAGTCTTCAGAAGCATCAGAGAACCCACACAGGGGGGAAACCTTTTGAATGCTCGGTTTGTGGAAAGAGATTCAGTGAGAGTGGCAGTCTTCAGAAGCACCAGAGAACCCACACAGGGGAGAAACCTTTTGAATGCTCAGAATGTGGAAAGACATTCAGTGAGAGTAGCAGTCTTCAGAAGCATCAGAGAACCCACACAGGGGAGAAGCCTTTTGAGTGCTCAGAGTGTGGAAAGAAATTCAGCCAGAGTGGCGGTCTTCAGCTGCACCAAAGAATCCACACAGGGGAGACGCCTTTTGAATGCTCACAGTGTGGAAAGAAATTCAGCCAGAGTGGCCATCTTCAGAAGCATCAGAGAACCCACACAGGGGAGACACCTTTTGAATGCTCAGAGTGTGGAAAGAGATTCAGTCAGAGTGGCAGTCTTCGGGAGCATCAGAGAACCCACACAGGGAAGAAACCTTTTAAATGTTCAGAATGTGGAAAGAAATTCAGTAGGAGTGGCAGTCTTCAGGAGCATCAGAGAACCCATAGAGGGGAGAAACCTTTTGAATGTTCAGAATGTGGAAAGAAATTCAGTAGGAGTGGCAGTCTTCAGGAGCATCAGAGAACCCATAGAGGGGAGAAACCTTTTGAATGTTCAGAATGTGGAAAGAAATTCAGTAGGAGTGGCAGTCTTCAGGAGCATCAGAGAACCCACACAGGGGAGAAACGTTTTGAATGCTTAGAGTGTGGAAAGAAATTCAGTGAGAGTGGCAGTCTTCAGAGGCATCAGAGAACCCACACAGGGGAGAAACGTTTTGAATGCTTAGAGTGTGGAAAGAAATTCAGTGAGAGTGGCAGTCTTCAGAGGCATCAGAGAACCCACACAGGGGAGAAACGTTTTGAATGCTTAGAGTGTGGAAAGAAATTCAGTGAGAGTGGCAGTCTTCAGAGGCATCAGAGAACCCACACAGGGGAGAAACGTTTTGAATGCTTAGAGTGTGGAAAGAAATTCAGTGAGAGTGGCAGTCTTCAGAGGCATCAGAGAACCCACACAGGGGAGAAACGTTTTGAATGCTTAGAGTGTGGAAAGAAATTCAGTGAGAGTGGCAGTCTTCAGAGGCATCAGAGAACCCACACAGGGGAGAAACGTTTTGAATGCTTAGAGTGTGGAAAGAAATTCAGTGAGAGTGGCAGTCTTCAGAGGCATCAGAGAACCCACACAGGGGAGAAACGTTTTGAATGCTTAGAGTGTGGAAAGAAATTCAGTGAGAGTGGCAGTCTTCAGAGGCATCAGAGAACCCACACAGGGGAGAAACGTTTTGAATGCTTAGAGTGTGGAAAGAAATTCAGTGAGAGTGGCAGTCTTCAGAGGCATCAGAGAACCCACACAGGGGAGAAGCCTTTTGAGTGCTCAGAGTGTGGAAAGAAATTCAGCCAGAGTGGCGGTCTTCAGCTGCACCAAAGAATCCACACAGGGGAGACGCCTTTTGAATGCTCACAGTGTGGAAAGAAATTCAGCCAGAGTGGCCATCTTCAGAAGCATCAGAGAACCCACACAGGGGAGACACCTTTTGAATGCTCAGAGTGTGGAAAGAGATTCAGTCAGAGTGGCAGTCTTCGGGAGCATCAGAGAACCCACACAGGGAAGAAACCTTTTAAATGTTCAGAATGTGGAAAGAAATTCAGTAGGAGTGGCAGTCTTCAGGAGCATCAGAGAACCCATAGAGGGGAGAAACCTTTTGAATGTTCAGAATGTGGAAAGAAATTCAGTAGGAGTGGCAGTCTTCAGGAGCATCAGAGAACCCATAGAGGGGAGAAACCTTTTGAATGTTCAGAATGTGGAAAGAAATTCAGTAGGAGTGGCAGTCTTCAGGAGCATCAGAGAACCCATAGAGGGGAGAAACCTTTTGAATGTTCAGAATGTGGAAAGAAATTCAGTAGGAGTGGCAGTCTTCAGGAGCATCAGAGAACCCATAGAGGGGAGAAACCTTTTGAATGTTCAGAATGTGGAAAGAAATTCAGTAGGAGTGGCAGTCTTCAGGAGCATCAGAGAACCCATAGAGGGGAGAAACCTTTTGAATGTTCAGAATGTGGAAAGAAATTCAGTAGGAGTGGCAGTCTTCAGGAGCATCAGAGAACCCATAGAGGGGAGAAACCTTTTGAATGTTCAGAATGTGGAAAGAAATTCAGTAGGAGTGGCAGTCTTCAGGAGCATCAGAGAACCCA